GAATAGGTGGGGCTTGAAAAGGCCCACCTGTTCAAAGTGGGGAATGAGGAAGTCTGAGAACCACTGCTCTAGTGACAACTGTCTCAGCTCACCAGCTCTGAGGTCATGGGTCGGTTTGACCACCTCGGTTTATATCAACACGTTGCTCCTGCCCTTGGGCGGGTTGCTATTTATAGCCATAATTGTTACAAGGACATAAAGATGGGGAAATAGTTGTGTATTGTTGTCTTAAAGCAAAATCGCAAACACGAAATAAATGTCTAAATAAATCTTTAAAAATTGGACATGTGCCAAGTGATTTTTTAAATGAAGTTAATTCAACTGAATTTTATTTATTTATTTAATAAGCATTGTTTACTTTTATGTGCACATGATTAACGATTAAGTGTGCTATTCTGATTGACTAATAATCTATTCTTATTAGTGCGACTAAAGATGTACCAAAATACATTTATGTGTACTTGACAACATTAAGATGCTCTTAAATAAAGTACATCTTAATCCTTTTTTATACTAAAGCTGAAATAAAAAAAGAATGTCTTACTCTGAAATTGTATTTAATCCACTCTTCATATAACTATTTATTTAACTATGATATTTATGAAATATATTTCAAATACAAGTTAATGTAAAGTCATTGAAATCCTTAAAATGTTCAGAATATAACTAATTACACTTAATTGTGTTTTAATAATGATTCTGATTATCTGAATGATTATTATCATTAGCATATGCACATTCTTAGTCCAACAGACATAGCTCATTATACTTTTTGATGCCTTGGTTTATGTCTACTTCACAATTTGATATACCTTGTGTCGCTTTTATGCTTAATGCAGCTACATTTTAAAAGTCAAGATAGATTCAGGTGTTGTTGTGAACACAGCACCCTTGTTTTGTCAGGATACAGCTGTGCATTATACTGCCAATATAATCTCTCTTTTATTGTCTATGACTGATTTTGAGTTTATGACCCCTGATCAAACATGTGACCCGCCTCCAGCAGACAGAAGAATAGTCGAGTGTTTCCAGATAAAAGGTATACGTCACAGATGTTTGCTTTGAGAGCGTTAGCGGATGTTAAAACTTGGATCATGCTGTTATTAAGCACGATAATGAGGAATACGGGGACATCGAGGCTTGTTGGGGAAGGTAATACGGCAGCTGGACAGAGAGCGACCGACATGACATCATGGTGGAAAAGGGCAACAAAGAGCTTCTTCCTGCTATAGTCCTACCCTTCTGCTCAGGTCAGGGCAGCGTTTCCCTCAGCTTCCTGTGGCACACAGACCACACACACAAACACACACTTGCTACTGTTAAACTAAACCTGAGGCTTACCCGAAAATGTCCTCCTTTCAATACCAAGTTTTTTACATGTGGAGATAAAAGTGGATGATGCCACTTCTTACTGAGGCATCAACATATCGGGTTGAATCCATGAAAAGCTTAACCTCGTACAGGATTTATTATTGAGATGTTGGCTATACTGCAATAGCCTGTAGAAGTTTATATATTATATTATGCAGAAGTGAGACCGAGTCCTTACAAGTTGCTTTATAAATCACAAGTCCTAAGTCTTTGCATTTAAGGTGTTCACATTGAGTTCTCAAGGCCTAAACAATTGTATCTCTTTCGTAAATATTGGGCCCAAATGTGTTTGGATCCATTCTTCTTTTCACACTTTTATTGATAGTCATTTTGTCAACACATCTTCAAAATCATGTTATTTGTGACTAGAGTCTGACTCGAGTTCAAGTCATTTGACTGTAGTCCATGCCTCTGATGTAATGAAAATGATATTCAATCTTTTATTAGCTCTATGGAAATGCATGATATCCAAGCAACTCTATTTCTGGCTTTGTTTTGCAAGAGATGGAAATCTAGCGTGCAATTATATAGATGTTGCATGGGATAAAAAAAAATTGAAACAGCATGCCATTGAGACTGTTGTGCCCTAAGGCTTGAACATCTGATTATTGTGTGTTTACCACACATGTTTTGCCTACACAAAAACACCAGGCTTTACCTGCAGCTCTAATGCAAATGAATACCAAGCATTCAACAGTTGGACATTGTGGGCGTTTGGATCATCGTCCGGTGGTTGGCTTATCTGTTGGTACCTCGCTGACCACCACAGTGTGACTCAAGTGCGAGGCCGACATTTAACACATCAGACAAAGGAGGTGATGTGAGAATGAGCGATAATCAGAAAGGGATAATCAGTTGTTTGTGAGCAAGAAAGAGATTTAAGGTTGGCACACGGAGATGTGAAGGAGTTCAAGTATCTCGGGGTCTTGTTCTCGAGTGAGGGAACAATGGAGCGTGAGATGGGTCGGAGAATCGGAGCAGCGGGAGCGGTACTGCAGTCTCTTTACCGCACCGTTGTGACGAAAAGGGAGCTGAGCCAGAAGGCAAAGCTCTCTGTCTACCGCGCCATTTTCGTTCCTACCCTCACCTATGGTCATGAAGGATGGGTCATGACCGAAAGAACGAGATCGCGGGTACAAGCGGCCGAGATGGGTTTTCTCCGCAGGGTGGCTGGTGTCTCCCTTAGGGATAAGGTGAGAAGTTCGGTCATCAGGGAGCCCTGCGGAGAAAACCCATCTCGGCCGCTTGTACCCGCGATCTCGTTCTTNTGTGTGTGTGTGTGTGTGTGTGTGTGTGTGTGTGTGTGTGTGTGTGTGTGTGTGTGTGTGTGTGTGTGTGTGTGTGTGTGTGTGTGTGTGTGTGTGTGTGTGTGTGTGTGTGTGTGTGTGTGTGTGTACCATTGCGTCCAGTAGCTGGATGCATCGTTGCAGTTTCGGTCTGGTATCACAGTAAAGACGGAACAGGAGCCGCCCAATAGGCTGTTTCTCACAGATGCTGACATAGTCCCTGTCTGCAGAAATAAAAAAGCACACACACACATTATTTAAAACACCTACTTTGGAAACACCATTATACAAACTAAGATAAACTCCTAGGTTATGTTTTAACCAAATGTCCTTGAACTTAATGGAAAACGTCATGAGGTCAAGGAAAGAAGATAGACTTAGGGAAAGACGTCCGCGGTTCTGAACACTGCATTCACACTGGACTATTTAATCAGAGGTGGAAAAGTACTTATCCTAGAATACTATTATTTAAAAGTAAAGTGTAGACATAATTTCTGTATTCAACCATTTCTAAATTAGGTACAAACGTATTAAAATCTGAATATACTAGAATGGCCACTTTTATAAATAATATATTATATCACTATATTATAATTTGTGATACATTAATAATTAAATCATCTTATTATTGAAGCTGGTAAGGGGGGAGATAACTTTAATTACTTGTATACTGCCAGGTATACCAAATCATAATCCATCAATTAATTTCAATCTTTTAAATTAATAATATGAACACCTGAAAGGTAACTAGTAACTAATTCATTAAAATAAATTGAAAGGAGTAAAAAGTACAACACTTGCTTTCAAATAGGAGTGGAGTTGAATTATATAGTAGCATAAATGGAAACAGTCAAATAAAGTACAAGTACCTTGCAATTGTTCTTAAGTACAGTACATAAGTAAATGTACTTAGTTACTTTCCACCACTGTTTGTAATTATCCTAGCGAATGTTATTGGCATGGGTCTGTAGTGAAGCTTCAATACTCTGGGGGACAGCATTATCTCCTTTACTTTAACAAAGGAGAGTCCAGTGTATTATATGCTAAAGGAGATAATAAGAGAAGTGGTGAAGCTCCTTTCCTTACAGAATTTGACCATGTCCTATAATGGCTGCCACTTAAAAATGTCTGAATCATGTAACTCACTTAAGAAGCTTCCTAGGCAAAAAAGACTAAAGAACTGCAGCCACTCTCTTCAAACAAAGTTAGCACACAAACACGTACCGATGGAGATTCCTAGCTCAGTGCACTGGCTTATATGTGGGAAGCGAAGGATCTCCCTCCATTTTTTGCTCCTCCCTTTCCGCTTTCCTCCTCCACCTGTGGGGACAGAGAACAACAAGAGGTGAACATGTGGTAATGAAAGGAGTTCATAAAGTTGTCAACGTGTATTTTTTATTCAGTGAGGAGAAAATGGAACCCTAAAGGCTAAATGGAGAGGGGTTGCGTGTGGGCTGAATGAAATCATAGTCTCAGAGTGTGTATAATTGATAGATTATGTCTCACTTCCTGCGTAAATCTCTCCTCTCTCTGCTGACTTTCTTTCTCACTCAGTAGTTTTTCTGAAGGTTGAGCAGTGTTTGTGTGTGTGTGTGTGTGTGTGTGTGTGTGTGTGTGTGTGTGTGTGTGTGTGTGTGTGTGTGTGTGTGTGTGTGTGTGTGTGTGTGTGTGTGTGTGTGTGTGTAAGACAGCTTATTCTGACCAGCTCAGTTCCCATCAGAACCCAAATCTTGCCAGGCTGGATTCCACATCTCTGAATAATGATGATCAGCTTCCTGCAGCAATGTAACACTGCACCATGAACAAAAATCACTTACATCCAGATCGTACGTTTTTTTTGGGAGGAAATTAGCTGTGCTGTCAACCTTGAATGCTATTTATCATGCCTTAAACTCGTCACGTCAACATTTCCAATACAAACCATGTTAAAACCACCCCTTTTTCTTCTCTTGTGCAGTTGTGACACAACTGTGAGAACTAATTTATCTGTTTTTAATCTAGTTCAGCTTGCATAATGTGCGATTCAGTTTGATGTTTTTCTTAATATGCAAAGACTGCTCTAATGAACTAACAGGGTTTTCCTTTTACCAATCTTTGCAAGTGTGGCCTGCTTTTATAAGCTATATTGAAAGCAGGAGAGCAGGGAAACAATGACAAGCAGACATATTTAAGTAATAACGCAGGAATGTGAGACAGACTACGTCATGTTGAAGCCTCTCAGTGAAAGCTTTTGCAGTTTTCCCATCAATTCTCCTGCTTTACTGCCTTAATTCTTTTCCCACTCTGCTGTTGTCATGATGTTACACTAACTTGAACATAAATTGAACTATATTACACGCAAGAATGGGAAGATTTAAGAATAACATGGTGGATTGTAACTATTTCAACAACAGTGTCATGAAGGTATGTTTCCTTTTTCTCTGAATTCCCTCTGGCATCTTTTGCAATCCTTAGATAAGAAAAAGACATGTATACATACTTTCAAGGCTATTCATTTTGTGATATAATATATTATGATGTTGTATTTTCATCAAATTTACAGGTGGATGTAAAAAATAATACAGTCTTTTAAGAAAAAGTAGAATTCTCGATAAATATAGGCTAAGCATTGATTTGAGAAATTACAGTCTTTTTCAGGCTTCAAATAATCACAATGCTAAATAAAATATTCTTATACTAGAGCCACAGGCTGCATACATTAATCAATATGGAATACAAACTCGACCTGAGGATGAAAAAACCCACCAACCAGGTGTTAGCCCAACCCCACCAGTTACTATAAACACACACATTTTAGCAGGGCTCATAGGCAGTTTACAATGTTGGTGGTCAGTGGCAAAGTTAACAACTTTATTGTTATATTTCTATTTGTATACTGTATTTCAGGTTACGAGTGGAGTAAAATTATTAAAGTAAATGGCAAAGTATTGTACAGTGACGATTAAGCTGGACCACTTCCTTACTCACTAAGAACGTTAGCAATGAAACTCTGATGTAATATCATCAAAGAACAGCTCGGCTACCACACAGTAGGTGTGCCAGGCTTTGTGTAATTGCCTAAGTAGATCTAAAGAATAATGCACTTAATGCAGGGGCTCTTTTGCTTTGGAAAATAAAATAATGCTGGCTTACTACTGTAGGCAGTAGGCTAGCTTACTGCTAACTAGCTTATCAGCTAACTGAATTGCTAGTGATTGGTTGCCTGACAGAACAGCCACAATTGCCACTTAAGTACACACTTTTTCAACCATTCTTTTTGATCCATAAAACCCATAAATAAATAGTTTTTATGGCCTCATATTACATTAGGCTGGATACTGTATGTTTGTAGATAAAGGACCCACATCCTCACCACAGCTGACAAGACTGGTAGTAGTATCACCACGGACAAACACAGAGCATGAATGTATTAATAACCCAAGCCAAAATATCCCCTAAGAGAATCATTAACTCTGAGCACCTGCTCCTCATCAACACTACTGTAGACCAAACAAGCTAAAAACAGGCACACTTCCTTATTCAAGCACCAGTTGTTCTCTGAAAACAGTTAATTTGTAAAGTAATGCTCAACTTTGTGGTGTGGTCCAATATTTGAATCCACTTTAAAAAGAAACTTGACGTCTGCTAACAGTACAGTGACAGTAAAAGGTCATTCCCTGCGGGGTCACCATGCTAAAAATGAATGCTACTGTAAGGCGTTGTGGATAAAAGTGTCCACCAAATGGCATTGATTTCCTGTGAAGGGTCAACACCATGTCAAATAATTGTACCAAACATCTGCGCTCCACCCAGGCATTCAACTTTGACACAATGCTGAGACAACCACAAATAATCTAGTTCCTCTTTTGTTCTTATTGTTTCCTTTTTACTTTCCCTCTCACTGCCCTCAAAACCTATTTATTTGTATTTTCCTCGCCCTTTTTATTTTTCTCTCCTGCCATCACCTTCAGTTATTTCTCTGTTTCCCGTATTCCAGCTTTTTTGTAATTTTCCCTGTGTGAATTTTCTATCACTGTCACCTCTACATCGTCACTGCCAGCCCATGACCGACCTTGTTTACCGCTTCAGACCCTTAAATGTCCTTTGTTTTAGGGTTGAATAAGGTCGCGAGGTTACAGCTTTATAGACACATAAACATAGCAATAGATGGTCCACTTCTTTTTTAACTTCTAAAACAATGTAATGAATACTATGGCTTTTTGACAAAGTGATACCATTTTCCAATAGTTCAAAGATTAGAGCAAACTCTAGAGTAAAAAAGGAGCAGGAAGTGTTTTTTTCTGCTGTCTTATCTTGTAATTTCTCTCACGACACATCATATTTCATGCAAAAGGTCAGTGAAGATGTTGAAACCATAATGTCATTATTCACAGTATGTGAAATAAAAGAGAGTTCGGGTGTGGGAAACTTTGACACAAAGCAATCTCTCACCAGCATGTTTATACGTCCGGCTGTATCAAACTATTTCTTCCACGAGCAAATCTGAGTAACAGCAGAGTCCTGTTGGGTGCAAAGACCTGAGCATCTGAACACACCCAACTGCTCCCACAAATATGCAAATAACCTGCATGAATTATTTATCTACACATGGGAGATTCATCAATCTGGATACAACTTCCTGTGCAGCCTCAGTGTCTTTTGGTTTCTGTGATGTCAAATACAACCCTTAATTAGTTCAAATTAGTTCTGCATAAATTACTTCTGCATTGTTGGTGGCCCTCAGCTGTTCTGTATCTGCTTGCTGAAGGGGAAATATTTGGGCGGGATGTAACAAATTATGTCTGGGGGAAGTTTAGGGGAAGGATTGTAAAAATCAACATGAAAGGAAACACTGGGATTATAACATATTGCTATGGAGCTGCAGGAGAAAAATCTCTACCCATAAGTGTTTTATGTGCAGATCTGGGTTCATTTGGAATAAAACGTGGCTTTTAAAATCTTAAATGTTGTCCATAAACTCTCTTGTATTCGCTCCACCATGCTTTTCTTTTTCTATTAGACGGTTCTCATTCTCTCTTGGTCTGTCACTTACACATGAGTAGAAATATGCTCTGCGCTGAGGGTCCGCTGCACACAGGAACTTGTCGTTCTAATTTGTTCCATGAGGGCAGTGTGGTCGCCGCCCTTTATTTATGTTTTTGCTTAGCAGCTCTGACATCATTAAGGCATGTCAAGGGAAGCAAAAATAAGGTCAGAGAGGGAACGACATCCTTCTGGCAGGACACCAGGGGGTTACCGGCATCCCGAACATCTGTGTTTGAGTGTGTGTGTATATACGCACACTGTTTCTACTGTGACCTCTCGTTAGTAACGTCCTCATGCTTAATTTAACCGACTCCAGCAGTTCTGCAGTCTGCGTCTATCCACACATACAAAAACGACCCTGCTTAGCTGTGAGGTTATATTCATAAAGCGTTCACACATAATCTAGGACATAAACCATTGTGTAGTTCTCACACTCGTAGGTTTAAAAACACCTCCACTCACACTGTCCCTCCAGACGTACAGTTTGATCTGCTGTGGATGAAACTACATCCTGTAGCTCACGCTGTGCATCCAGCACACATGTAACCACAACATCTGCAACATAATTTGATGTGTGAGGTGAGCGCTGGCAGAGAGGAGCCCTGTGAATATGACGTGCTATTCTCTACACCTACACTGTGCAAAAATGTGAGATTTTGCTAGATTTCTGTGACACTTCACACACATCTCCGTGTCCATCCATCCATCTTCTCCCGCTTATCCGTGGTCGGGTCGCGGAGGTAGCAGTTCCAGCAGAGAGCCCCAAACTTTCTTTTCCCTGGCCACATCAACC